GGGAGGAAGGAAGGAAGGAAGGATGGATGGATGGATGGATGGATGGATGGATGGATGGATGGATGGATGGATGGATGGATGGATGGATGGATGGATGGATGGATGGATGGATGGATGGATGGACCTTTAAAACAACATATACTCATTGCTCATTGCATTCCCTCAATTAGCAAAGCATGTCATTTGGACCCAGGACTGTCATGTGACATGGCGTCAGCCTAGGACAACATAATGCGAAAGACTGCAAGGCCAGTGTTGAGCATTGTTATCAAAAGCATTGTCCAGAGATATAACAGCACTAGAGACAGGTGCTATGAACCACTGGTTGGGCAGTTCGTCCTGCTTCGTTTACCGGCCAAACAGGTGTTTGGCACTTCCAAGCCCCACCTCCTCCAGCAGAGGCAGCCACTCAGAGGCAGCACCAGGAGGAGGCGGTGCAGGGAAGCCATGGCGGTGGCTCTAAGTGGGTGCCTGTCGGAGGAGGTGCAGCTTGGAAGCATCAATGACCTGTTGGATCGTTAAATGAACCCGGATGAACTGCTGAGCCAGTGGTCCGTGCCCATCTCTAATCAGTACTATTGACCAAACTGAACACAAAAAATGAAGTGGCTGCTTTTCTGCAGGGCGAAATTTCCAAAAGTCCTAGCCAGTGTGGACACTGCACAATTTGAGTATCCTCGATTTCAAAAAATAGGGCTTTTTTTTCTAGGCTAGGACAGGAATGAGGGTGGAGGGAGGCTTTCAAGAAACTAGGTGAAGACCCTGGACATCACACAACCTTGTTGCTTGCAAACATTTTAGCAGTGGCCCAGAGGCTGGCCACATAAAACTGTGAATCCCCGGACATGGACATGCCTCTTGGGGAGAGAGTCTATTTGGATGGGTGACGTGACGTGCCTCAAAACAGCCTTTCTCTCAGCTTTTGTTTTCCTCTCTTACAGGACCCGGTTCTTTCACTGAAGCTGTGACTTACATCCAGTCGCAATACGAGAGCAAGAATAAGTCGTCCAACAAAGAGATCTACACACACATTACCTGTGCCACTGACACCAACAACATCCAGTTTGTCTTCGATGCTGTAACTGATGTCATCATAGCCAACAATTTGCGTGGATGTGGACTCTATTAAACTTTCTTTCTTTCTTTCTTTCTTTCTTTCTTTCTTTCTTTCTTTCTTTCTTTCTTTCTTTCTTTCTTTCTTTCTTTCTTTCTTTCTTTCTTTCTTTCTTGGAAGCAAACCCGTGGTCAATATTCACTTGTCCGCTCTACCACCTCCCAGGTTTAGGCCAATCCCACCCAACATGTTTCAGGGGGATCACACAACTTCCATGTCCATGTGAGTCGGCATTCACTGGACTCTTTTTTTTCAAAGTAACTATTGGGACATGTCGCCTTGTCATTTGACTGAAACAGAAGGGAAGAAATGTCCTTTCCCAGACTTCACTAATTTTCCTCAGAAAATCCTACTCCCTTTTCTATGCTCTTCCCCCCCCCCCAAATTGAAAGCTGTGAGGTGAATTTCTCTACCATACCCATGTTGGAATGGTAGCCAGTATTGAAACTAACACTGGAGAGGGTAAATAGAGTCTAAATCACTGGTTCCCAACTTTGGGTCCCCAGATGTTCTTGGACTACAACTCCCAGAAATCCTGACCACCACAGCTGGTGGCAAAGGCTTCTGGGAGTTTTAATCTGGGAACCCAAAATTGAGATTACTGCTCTAAATTACAACTCCCAGAAATCCTGACCACCACAGCTAATCCATTCCACTGAAATAGCTGTTTAGCGAAATCATTGTCTAGCGAAAAGCATTTCCCCATTGGAATGCATTGAAACCTGTTTAATGCATTCCAATGGGGAAGAATCGTTGTTGTCTAGCAAAGATCGGCCATAGGAAAGCTGCTTTGTGAACCGCCGATCAGCTGTTTAAATCGCTGTTTTGCGAAGCTTAGGTACCGAAAAAACCTGTTTTGCAAGCGCGGAGGGAGCTGTCAAAATCGTTGTCTAGCAAAAATTGGTTTGCGAAGCAGGGACCAAACATTGTCCAGCGAAATTCCCCCATAGGAGTCACTGTTTTGCAAATCACTATAGAGATCGCAAAAAGTCAATGTCTAGCAAAAAAGCTGTCATGCGGGGTAACTGTCTAGCGAGGCACCACTGTATTTCAAGGGGCAGGAAATGACTTTACTGAATACGTTGACTCTTCTGGTATTTACCATTTAAGTGCCAAACTTTAAGAGATCTGTGGCCAAGATATCCTCAGTGTGTGCCATCTTTTCGTATCATTAGCTGCTGTGAAAAGGGATCATGATTTCCGTGTTAAAATTCTCCTCCCAACGCTGCTGAATTTAATTGTAGGAGAAAACACGTCCGACACAAACAGGTTCCTGTTTGGTGGGAGATGGTTCTGAGAGAAATGACTGATCTTCTCTTTTTTTCCCCCTCCCCCAAGTAGTGGCCCCGATCCACGACACATGTATGAGCGTAACAGACACATGCTTGCTGCTGCTGTTCGTACATGTTAAGAACTGCAGCGCATCCTATTCCATGCTTTCTTCCTAGATGTTGAGAGCAGATAAGAAAAAAATAAAATAGAAATGGAAAAAAGGATGGCTGAGGAAGTTCTCGGCCTCCCACGTTTTTGAACCTTTTTTACCATTTGCTCAGGAAGAGCAATTGACCTGGAAGCCAAGATGAATTACTATTTCTGCTCCAGAATGAAATGGCTAGTGCGGATTGAAATCTAAAGGTCATGCTTTCCTTTCGTTTTTAAATTTGGGGCAGATGACTGGGCATCAAAAAAAAAACCAATGGTCATGAACTTCTGGGGGTCTCTCTCAATAGATCCGACGTGGTTATAGAAGACGTAAATAAATATTCTAGAATAACCAAGTAAGGTGGTCTTCGTGTTGGGTTCCAGGGACTCACATAAACGTAGTGGGGATCCTTCCATGAGAAAGCCAGTAATGGAAGACAAGATTTTCAGAGAGAAAAATAGCTTGCTTCCCAATTGACCAAAACTTGACTTTTGCTCTAGGACGGATCGGGAAAGGACAATGAGAAGTTATGTTCAGTGTTGTGGTTGCATGAATGTTGCTCTTCTGGAAGCACTCTTTTCAGGTCAGAAAATGCGGAGTTTTCCTTGGAAACTATTAGATTTTGGGAAAGTTGCTTTTTGGCAGGACTACTAGGGAGTTGCCATTTTAAAAAAAAACTTCTAAAAACAGTCACCGGAAGGTTGAAAAGCCAACAGCTGGATGTCTTTACCAAGGGCAGAAATACGTAAATGACAGCTTTGCTATTAGAAGGGGAGCTGTCTTCAGAAAGAGAGGGCATTTGATTATCTCGCAGTGTCGTTTCATAGCTTTGTAGGTGGCACGTTAGTTTGCTTATGTTTGGTGATGGGTCATTGGGACCTAAACACCCATCTTTGTTTACATTTGACAGCACAAACATGGCCGCTATGAAGCACATGTCTATGGACATATAACGTTACATCACTTTCTAATTGTGAAGCTGCTCTCTCATTTGTTTCTGCCTTGGTACGACAGATTTAACTCCAAAATTTAAACAGACCTAAGTACTGTTTGATATCGCCCCATCCTCTCCCTCCCTCCCTCCCTCTCTCTTCCTTCCCCTTTTTATAAGGTATTCCATGGTTTTGTTGTTTGGTTTTAGCAGATAAACAATTGTTTCTGAGGTGGATTTGGGATTTGGGGGGGACTGTTCTTTGGTGATAGCAGGTTTGTCCCAAAGCTATACTTCTGGAATTGTACAGTTTTGAGCGCTGTGCCTTTTCGTCATCAGATTTGTATGGAGGACGAATCTGATCCCAAGGCCGTATTGGTATCTCTCTGTGCTTCTCTGCCAGTGTGTGTTTCTTCATATCTCTTGTCAGATATGTTCTCTTTTCGGTCCACCCAGATTCTCCTCAGACGCTGTACTTGCTATTTGTTCACTCCTTTCTGGGGAGCCTTCAGTTTCTTTGGGTTGGGGTAGACATCTTCTAATGGTTCAAGTCACATCCTTGCAACCCAATTCCCTTTTAAAATCATCATCATCATCACAACAACAACAACAAAACCTTCTTGTTATGGGGGGGAAGAGAAGGTGATTTCATTGGATGGGGGGGCTGAGCTCCTTTCCCCCCCAAAAAACTATAACCTGGAAGTCACTGTAGGAAGTAAAGAAACGAGGCAGCCATTTTGTGAGGCTCCTTTTTAAGTATTCTTGCACATCCATGTCCACCTTAAAGGAGACCGTCCAATTCCTGTATTTATTGCCAGTTCTGTTTATTCCTTCGTTGCCATATAAAATCAGCTGCTATTACATCTGCCAGAGAACCAAACTCAGACTAAGATGGAGGCCACAACCCTGCCCCATCACCCTTTCCCCTGAACTCACTTCCTGCTAACTTTTCTGCCGGTCGGAATTAGAAACCGATCACACCAAAGCCCTGCGGCCTTTCGTGGGACGAGGGAGGGCCACAACAGAAGACACTGAAAGCTGGCAGGGGATAAGAAGCATCCACATGGACAGCTAAGAAAAAAGAACAGCAGACTTCCAAAAACATGTGAACGGTGGCACCAAGAGCAATCTCCTTTTCTATAGCCAAGCTTTGAGGCTTCGTAGCATAGAGCAGAGATGCTGGTCATCATCTGCAGGCCCTTTTCGTATTCAGGTGACCATAGACGGAGAGAGGCTGAGCAAGCTACCCAACGCTCAATGTGTTCTCTTCGAATTAGTGGCAAAGTTTTATGATGCTGGTCATCATCTGCAGGCCCTTTTCATATTCAGGTGATCATAGTCGGAGAGAGGATGAGCAAGCTACCCAACAATTAGTGGCAAAGTTTTACAAACTAAGACTGTCACAGGCTGTTATTTACATCTCTCTTTTTTTATTAGCAGCCAAGTCTGGATTCTGGGAAAAGCTCCTCTACGTGAGTGCCATGCCTGGGATTTAGGAACAGGCTCAAGCGTTTGCAAGCCCCATTATCCTCCGGCGGTGGCCAAGCGTTCCCCATGGGCTGTCGCCGTTTTAGCAGGGCTTTGATGAAAGCCCAGCACAGCAGCTCCAGTGCATTGTGGGAAAATCACTATGCCGTCTTTATGGGATGGGAGCTGTTCCCTGTATTCCCCCTTGCCAGGAGATTAGGTTTGGTTACTGAACAGACAACGCTCTAGTGGCTAACATTTTTTATAATGCATAACTGTTGTGTGGCTTCTCATCGTAACTGCTGCTGCTGTCGTTAAATTCCTTTACAAATAGGGAAATGATCTCTGCCAACTGGACCTCCCCTTAAAAAATAGTTTGGAAAGTAATTCGTAAATGTGAACAGACAGTTTCCAAACCCCTCATGGGGTACCATTAAGCTGTGAAAAAAGAGGACCTCAATACTCTACAGTATTGTTAACCACAATAGTATGCAATGAATAACGTCACCACTTTTAATGCGTTATTTCCAAATAATGCACATGTGCACCTATCGCTGTATCTTCCTTGCCCTATATGGTACAGATGTGGCACCGTTTCCAATATCGTCGTGGAATGAGGGTGGGAGAAGGCATGTGCACATTGGGGGCAGAGGGGGTAGGGTGAAGACTTGTTCTACAGGTGATGGGGAAACGCCTTGTTTCAGCTGTATATGTGGAGAGGGCTGTGCTTAGGAATCAGTGGTGGTGAGCAGGCTTGGTGCTGATGTGAAACCGTGCAGATGGGTTGCTGTTGAAAACAGACGAGTAAGTGAGATCGTTCTGAGTCAGTATCCCAGCGAACCTGCTTCACACATACTCCAGACTCCATGGGAGCCATTGAAAGTTTCAGTATCTTAAACCCTTCCTTCTGGGATTAACTTCCTGCTCCACTGATATTGAAATCACACCAGCCAGCAAGGGTGCTAGATGGATTTGCTGTGCTGGGAGAATTCTGGGGAGTTGTTGTCCTGCGCAACTGGAAAGTAGACATTTAGGGAAGGTTGGTCAGATGTGATCATTATGGCCCTCCGGTTTTGTGTTTGTTTGCATGCTCATTTAAATATTTCTATGACAGTTGTGTGATTTTTCTATCAACAAAGGAGACCGGGCGGAGTGAGGGCACTAAGGGTTGGAAAGTTCTTAAAGAGCTACTGAAGAGGGAGGGTAAGGGACATGTTGAAAGTTAGGGCAGGTGTAGGAAACACAAGACGCATTTGCTGGAGGAAAGGAGAAGGCTTGAGACACATTGCAGGAGACGTGGGAGAGGGAATTGACGGATCTCATAGAATGTGCGCCATTTTAGAGGACGTATACTTTAATGGCAATGCAGCATCATCGTTAAGCAACTGAGCTGTGAACTAGAAACCACCTGAGACCTGATCTATGAACAGTAATTTGCTAATAGTCTGTTATAAGCTATCATCTCTCTCAAGTTGCCCTGTGATTAGATGGGGATAACACCTCAAAGGGATGAGATTGTGCTTTTGAACACTTGAAAGCCCAAAAAAATTGGAGCCCTCCCAGAATGACTGAACTACGACTCCCGACATGCCTGACCATTCGATCTGCTCATTCAGATAGCTGGGAACTGAATTCCAGCAACATCTGGGGGACTCAGGAGGGAAAGCAGAGGTAGGAAACATTCCTTTTTTTTCAAACTATCGCTCCCAAAATGCCCC